TTGACCTCTTTGGATCCCATTTCTCGGGAGTTCTGTGTGCCTCCGTAGTCTGAGCAACTATTTCCTCCCCCAGTTTGGGGAAATTCTCAGCAATTATTTCTTCAAAGACACTTTCCATCCCTTTTTCTCTCTCTTCTTCCTCTGGTACTCCTATAATGCGGATATTGTTCCTTTTGGATTGGTCACACAGTTCTCTTAATATTGTTTCATTCCTGGAGATCCTTTTATCTCTCTCTGCATCAGCTTCTATGCGTTCCTGTTCTCTGGTTTCTTTTCCATCAATGGCCTCTTGCATCTTATCCATTCTGCTTATAAATCCTTCCAGAGTTTGTTTCACTTCTGTAATCTCCCTCTGGAGATATGTGATCTCTCTCCAGACGTCTGTAATCTCCCTCCGGACTTCATCCCTTAGCTCTTGCATATTTCTCTGCAGCTCTGTCAGCATGTTTATGATTTTTATTTTGAATTCCTTTTCAGGGAGACTGGTTAGGTCTGCCTCTGTAGATCCTTTCTCAGGTGTAACTATCTTGATCTGGACCAGAAATTTTTGCCTTTTCATGGTGATAGCAGTGGCTGTAGGCAGGTTGTGGGTGTGTCAGCTGGGAGAGGAAAGTCCTTTCCTGCTTGCTGGATGCCTTGCCCTTCTCTGCTGCCTGTGACGGCTACCTGCACTCCTGGAGCAGCCACTGGGTTAATCTCCTAAGCTGCTTTGGGTGGGGTGTCTGTCAGAGTAGCACGGAGCCCTATGGGGATTGGCAGGCACGCCAGGTGCACTCCTCCATGCTAGCGGCGACCCTGCTGGGCAGCTGTGTGGCAGCAGCGGCCTTTGGGTCTTGCCCAGGCGGCTGTGTGTTGGGCTGGGATTCCGGTTGGCTCCTGGGAGCGCACCTGCTCCCTCTGGCTCTGTTGCTGGTGCACGCGGGGCTTTTCCGCACAGGCTTCTACCAGACTCTGGCTTTACTGCCTCCGGTGCATGCGAGATGTGCCCTGGCTGTTCGGTCGCACCACTGCATGCTAGCCCTGCGGCACACGGATCTGCTCTTGGTTCCTTCTAGCGCTTCTGCCCACGGCGCACGCTCCCACTTTCCTGCTACTGGTCCCATGTGTTGGGGTCCGCGCCAGTTGGAGGAACGACTGGCAGACTGCCTAGTCCTGTGAGGGGCTTCAGAGCTGCAGTGCCTCCATTTAGGGCACTTAAGTTTCCCCGGTACTCCCAGCTGCTGGGACAACTCCGTCCAGCTAAGGGTTCCCTGTCTCTTTAAGACTTGCAGAAAGCACTTGCTTTTCTTTTGTCTCAGTGGTGCCATTTGCCGGTACCTGCCCCCAGGTTTTGCTTTTCCGTTTATCTAATATCCAGCACCCCGTGCACCTTGTGTCTGCATTCCTGGTGCGGATTTCTAGAGCTGGTTGTTTAGCAGTCCTGGGCTTTCACTCCCTCCCTGTTCTGACTCCTTTCTTCCTGCTGGGTTTTGGGGTGGGGGAGCATTCGGGTCCTGCCTGGCCATAGCTTGTATCTTACCCCCTTCATGTGATGCTGAGTTCTCACAGATGTAGATGTATCCTGGCTGTTGTACTGCATCCACTGGTGTCTCTTTTAGGAATAGTTGTATTTATTGTATTTTCATAAGTATATATGGTTTGGGGAGGAGATTTCCTCTGAACTACTCATGCCGCCATCTTCCCGTGATCTGCACCCTTATGTTTTTTGTTACACTATTTGCAACAGCCAAGGTATGGAAGCAACCTAAGTGCCTATCAGTAGATGAATGGATAAAGAAGGTTTGTTAAATATACACAATGGAATATCATGATTCAGCCACTAAAAGAAAATCCTGCCATTTGCAACAACATTGATGTATCTAGAGGCTATTATGCTCAATGAAATAAGCCAGGCAGAGAAAGACAAATACCATATGATTTCACTTATTTGTGGAATCTAAAAACAAAGCATAACAGAATGAACAAAACAGCAGTAGAGTTATACACACTGAGAAGTGACTGGTGGTTACCATAGGGAGAGGTTGTGGTGCGTGGGAAGGGTGGGGGGATAAAGGGGCACAAAAATTCTCAATCATAATATAAGTAGGTCACAGGGATGGTAGTACAGCATGGAGAATATAACCAATGATTTTGTAACATCTTCCTATGTACACAGACAGTAACTGCACTAGTGGGGATGAAGATTTAATAATATGGGTAACTGTTGAACCACTCTGTTGTATACTTAAAACCAATATAAGATTGTATATGAATGATACTTCAATAAAAAAAGGAATGTTCTACATAGAATGTTATAAATGCTACTTGAGTGTGATGAATAAAGATGGTACAGAAAAAATTTTTGGAAGAGATTACTTTTCTAAGAAGGGGTAGATACTGTATTCTCTGGAATGTTATTTATCTTAATATTATTTTTAGTAACACTCCTACCAACTCCAACTTGAAACTACCCCCCGAAAAAAGTGAAAGAGGCATATGACATTCCAGGCCCTGTCTGAAATACCAGAAATTCCAAAAGAGTACAATCTAATAGGAGGTTTTAGTATACAAAGATACTGTTCTTGTACCATTGCACGTTACAGCCTTGATTATTTCAGTTAGTTTTCCTTTACCCTTTGTGGTGCTGTGCTGGACCACCACCATTAAGTAACTGCCACCCTCTATGTTGTTCTTGTAGTTGGGACTGAGATGCCACCACCTTTAGAAATCTCTGAAGCAACTGAGGAATGGCTAAGCAACAATTTCTACTCTTCTTATGATGACAATGAAGGAGATGAAAAGCCCCTAATGGTTAGTAATGACCTACAAAAATAAATACAAATGCTTGGGGCAGTTTTACTGATGAAATAGGTGTGGCACATAGGGGCAATCTTCTGTCAATATCCTTGAGTTCATGGGGTACATTCTGTGGCTAAAAGATGTGAAACAAGTTTTATTGTGAATTTTCAGTAAGCACTTTTCCCTGTAAGTACAACTCGTTTGAGCTATATGTGGAGCTTCTATCGAAGTTGATGAGATAGTCATTCCAGTCTCTACATACTGACCAGTTTTATCTTTAATTGAATTTCACCACCTGTTTCAATCTAGGCATGTGAGATAAAACCAGGCAGGTCAACAAAGGCAGGTCAAATATACTTTAAAAATCGATTTAGATTCCAGATTGGAAGATGCAGGAAATAAATGTTACACATTAAAAACCATAAAATAATGTCTAAAGAATATAATTTAGTGGGCTGTCAAAAAATGTGCTAATGATACCAAATCTCAGCGTATTAGAACAAGGGGGAACCCCACAAAACTAAAAGAGGGTGCTTTAGGTAAAAGTGTTGTGTAAAAGAAATAATTTTATGATGTTATTATTAGGATCCTAGTGGACTTTCAGAGAGGAGTTGGGACAGTTTCGGGTCTATCTCCACTTTTCTGAAGTCACCAGCGTGGAGGGTGGTAATGATGCTTTGTAGTGGACAGTTCCTTGGTGCCCTTCAGAGGAACAAATTCAATTTGGCAAATCTAATTTGGAGTAAGGGAGTGATGGTGTGGAAAATTACAAAGCACAACAGCATGAACTCTAAAATGCCGTCTTTTCAAAAGTAACAATATTCTTTCTGTGAATAATACCACGACCATAACACATATTTGTATGACAGTTTACAGTTTACAAAGTGATTTCACATTATAATATTTATAGTATTAGTGATGGAATGGGCAGGCTTTATCACCTGTGATTGACAATAGTTTACATCTGTTGATATTTACCATATTATAAACTAAAACTGAGAAATAGAGAATTACTTATTCATAATTTAAAAATGTTAATCAACCCATTACAAGTTTACATAAATAACATTTTTATTAAAAATTTACCTTTTCAAGCAAAAAAGTAAGTGGAAAGAGTGGCATTTTAAATATTTTTGTAAATCTCTAATATCTGACTTCAGAAGACACAGCTAGATTCTCCTACCTGCTTTTGTATTCATTCTCTTGTGCTGTCACACATCGGGTAGTCTCCAGAAAAATCTACTGTATATTTGTGAAAGGATGAGAGTGAAAAGGGCAAATAATGTTTTAGTGTAGGTTTGACTCTTGCAGACTTTTGAACTTCAAATGGTCAGCCTCCCAAACTTCGAGAACTGCAGGTTTAGATTCTTAGTAAAAAGATCTTCTATATCCTTAATTCATATTATCTGAGGATGGGAAAAGTAGTTGCCAGATGTGAACAAAGTCAGGAGAAACCAATTTGGGTTCAGCATTTGCTGTAGATGCTCTATGAAGGAACTGTCAAGAATGTTAGTATTCAATAAGCATTTTTCTGGCTATGTCGTCAGAAAATACAGCAAGTATGCCAAATTAATGAATGCTTTAATTACAGAAGAGGGGAATGCCGAAAAACCTGCTAGTTCTCTTCTCCCAGCAATTCCCGGAGTTGAGCTACTAAGGAAAACATACAAAAGCAATACGGTGCATTCCATCCTCACCCTCATCAAAAAAACCCCAAAATAAACAACAAACAGGTTGAAAAGAACCGCTCTTGTACTCCCACTTTACCAAGTCAAAAATCTCAGAAATAAAGGGAGCTGCTTCCCTTGTAGAGGCCCGTATTGGGATGGTCTTCTATTACGATGAAGCTACTATGTTACATGGCCAGTAGCTCTTTTCCTGAGTGCTCCTCAGCCCATTTGATAAAATTGCTGCTCAGAAGATGTTCAACCCAAGTGACGTGGGTATTGTTTTCAGGTTAATTCCTTTGGACATGCAAGAAATCAGCACCACATAATTCTTTTCTTTCATTAAAATTTTTTTTTATTATGTTACTCATTTTAAAATCATGTAAGTGTGTAAGACTTTGTGCTAGAAAAAACTTATCTCAGAATAGTTTTGGATTTGAGAATTTTTATTTCTTCTCTGTCTACTTTCTAACAAGATGCTGTCCGTGTGCCTTGGATTATGTAGTTTATTAATGAGTCAACTTAAAAATATAGCTATAAAAAAAAGATTAAGATGAAGTAAAGCACAGCATTATGATTTAATATGCTTTTATTGGACCCAGAGCTTTTGTGCCCATTATTTTTACCTGTGCAAAGTGATATGAAGCCCAGAAAGCCTTTGGGGACATTAGTAAATGCCTTTGTTCAGCACCACTGCCTTTTGTATGTGCCAAGATAAATTTTTCATAAGCATAGTTTACAAATAACAGTATTTGAAAATTATTTTTGTGCTTGTTTTTTTTTTTTTTTGCCCCTGGAATTGTGCTTGTAACTCATGTGACTTAAATTAGTTGTGTTCTTTTATTTTCTGTGTAGTTCATGCTGTAATTCTCTTTTGACAAATTAAAATGAATTCTTCAGGTTAAGTGAACATGTGTCCTGCTTTTTTTTTTTCAATCACAAAGTGCTCCATGTTTACTTGTCCCTGCAAAGCTATCGCATTGACCACTGAAGTAAATAGTGAGTGTTCTGTGTCCCTGAGCATGCAGTTGTGCAAATGGCTTTGCGCTCAAGTTTGTGATGTAATTTTTCAAAACAACCTTCCAGTCTTCAGGCAGATATAAAGCCCTAGCAGACTGCAGAAAGAGAGGCTCAGAAGACCTCCAGATTAGAAGTGGAGCTGTCATTCAGCTTCTCCAGGAGGAGGCTGATGGTCAACGGTAGGTGCCTGTGGTCACCTCCCCCCGGGGCATCTGGGTATCTAATCGAAAGTTCTGCTTTCCTTGCATCTTTGACATAATGCTCTCAAGAAGCAAAAATATCACATTTCTTATCAGTGTTTTATCTCCATTGCTTCAGCCTTGCCCATATAGGTCGCTGAAAGTAATGTTAATTGGTGAGTGAAGGATGCTTTGAAAGAATGAGATGCTGTGAGTGTGCCTGCTCTCTTGTGGTTACCTTTTGTTCAGACATTTCAGCTGATACAACTGGCTTTGTAATAACTACAGATCACATGCCATTTGGTCACTCAAGCCATTCACTAACTCATCACATATTTAATTAATGCCTACTAAGTGCCTGGGACCATGCATAGCTACTTTACACCATAGTTTTTACTCAGTTCTAAGAGCATGTTATTTCCTATGGAAGGTCCTGTTACACACACACACACACACACACACACACACAAAACCTGTGTCTGCGCCCAAGACTTAATGTGTGCAGGTAGTGTAAAGCAGTGAGAACTAATGTTCCTTTTTATTAGCTCAACCCTTATCAAATATAAAATAAGGCCTTTTAGTTTCATCGTTCTGTCCTTAAGCATTTGACTTCATATAGCATCAGTTTCAGAGATGGTTCTGCCAAATATGCGGTTGAATTAGAAAGAACTCAAAGCAGGAAGGAAATGTTTGCAAGAGGACTGAATGAAGCTTCCAGAAGTCTTCTGGAAATTTTATGTGAAATAATTTTGTCTTCACTGTGTCAATAATTTTAACTGAAATGCCACATTGACTGTGTAGTCTGACCCCAAAGTTCTGAGAAGATACACATGAGGGTGAAAATTAATGGTGGGTCATTAAAGTAATAACCATTTTTGCAAGTTACCTCAGTCCTTTGAAGGTTGCTCACCAGACAGGACAGTGTCGTGAAGGTCTTTGAGTGCATACAATAGCTTTGTGAAAATTTGAGCTGCAATGCAATGTATTTTTCTATTACCTTATATTACCATTGTTGTCTACTAACTCACTTATTATTTAGGTTGGTGAAAAATCTAAACAGAAGAAAAGAAGGTCTGAGTCCAGGGAACAGTTTGCAGATTTTAATTGGTGACTCTAGGTTTTGGAATGGCAAAGTTACAAGTATAATATGAACAGGCTGTGTACTATTTGTTTAAAGTCTAAAATTTTAAAAACTTCACCGAATTTGCAGTTGGCATAAGGTAAGAACCTCTCCCTCTCTGCACTTATAAATAAAGTTGCAAGCATATATATGTGTGTGTAATATATATATATATATATATATACATATATATACACATGTTTAAATTAAGGTATCATTGATATGCAACATTGTGGTTTCAACATTCACCCATATTATCAAGCCCTCACCCCACCTACTGCAGTCACTGTCCATCAGCGTAGTAAACTGCTATACTAGTGACTTGTCTTCTCTGTGCTGTACTGCCTTCCCTGTGACCTGCCTATATTGTGATTGCAAGCATATTAGCTAGGATTTAACTTTTTCCTTTAATAGTTTTAAATTAGTGAATAAAGATTTTAAAAATATGTTAATCTTTTCCCAATAAGGTTGACAGGTTTGAGAGTTTCAGATACTGCAGTACCTTGTAAGAGATCCTTCGGAGCTAAATACTGATGATATGCTTTTAAGGTACAAGCCTCACTGTCCAAAAGTGTTTGATCAGTGTGTTTGTACTCAGTTCTAAGAGCATGTTATTTCATTATGATATGTCCCGTTACACACACACACACACATATACAACCTGTGTCTGTGCCCGACTTAATGCATGCAGGTAGTGTAAAGCAATGAGAACTAATGTTTCTTTCTGTTAGTTCAACCCTTAGTACATAAAATATCTATGTACAAATGAGTATCCTTGTAGATTATTCCCCTGTGATACTGAGCTATATATAACAAAACAGCATAAAAAAAAGAAAAACTCATGGGCAAGATTATTATTAAATGCACATATTTCTTTTGACTTTCTAGTTTTGGACTTGTATTGGAATTCCAAATAATGGTACATTGTGTTTAAATGAATCTAATAGACCGGGAGTATCAGCTTACTGGATTCCAAATTTCATTATGATGTCTAACAAAACCTAGTGTTGATAGCACTAAATATTGTTACTTGGTTACATGGGAAATCCACAAATAGAGTTTCTTCTTGTTTGTTTAGTATTTTTTTTCTACTCTAAATCTGGGTCACCTTTCAGAAATTTTCTGCACTAAGTATTGAATTAGTGAATTATTTAGATGATTAGCAGTCTGAAGAGTCTGATATACCAACAACCTGAACTAATTGACATTTATTTAAAATCTATACCCAACAACTGCAGAATACACCATTATTTTTAAGTACACATGGAACATTTTATGAAGACAGATGATATGCTATGTCATAAAGTAAGTTCCAATAAATTTCAGAAGATTGGGATCATATTAAGTCTCAAAAGATATATCAGAAATTGACAATCCCTAAATATTTGGATATTAAATGGCATGGATCTAAATAACGGGACAAAGAAGAAAGCAAAAGAGAAATTAGTTATTTCAAATTGGATGTTTAAATACTTGGATTACACACTTAAAATTCAGTGTACTTCACCATATTAACATAATGAAGGGGAAAATTACATAATCATTTCAACAGATACAGGAAAGCACTTGACAAAACTCATTACTCATTCATGATAAAAACTCTCAACCAGCTAGGAATAAATGTTATTTCCTCAATCTGATAATTTCCTCAATCCATACTCTTGTGAAAAATCACAGCTAACATACTTAATGGTGAAATATTGGAAGTTTTTCCCCCAATATTTGGAGTAAGCCAAGGATATTCACTCTCACCGTTTCTATTCAGCATTATACTGGAAGTCCTTGCTAATATCATAACTCCGGATAGAGAGATAAACAAAACAAAAAAAAGATGCACCAGTGTCATGCTTAGCAGATCATGTGTATGTACAAAACTATTAGGAATCTATACACAAAAAACCCCATTAGGTGTAAATGAATTTTACAAGGCCATAGTATACAAAGCCATTATATAAAAGTGAATTGTAATTCTATATCCTAGCAAGGAAGAATTGAAAAAATGAAATTTCAAAAAACAACACTTTATATTACTAATAGAAAACATAAACAGGAATAAATCTAAAAACAGATGTATATGGCTTCTATACTGAAAACCCCAAGTCACTGCTGAGATATATCTAAGATGATCTGATAACACGAGATATATACCATGTTCAAGGATTAGGGATCTCAGTGTTGTTAAGAATTCCATTGTCCCCAAATTAATCCATAGGGTTGATGCAATCAAAAGCTCAGCAGGCCTTTTTAGAAAAAAATAAAGACAGATTTATGCTAAATGTACATGGAAAGGCAAAAAATCAAGAACCTCAAAAATCTGGAAGACTTACATACCTGATTTCAAAACTTTCTATAAGGCTACAGTAATGAATACAGTGTAGTAGTGTTGGTATAAGTGTAGTAAAACAGTTCACAAACAGACACCTTCAAAAGCCAAATAGTTTGTAATGAATCACATTTCCCCCTAATTAACTGATTCCATCTTACACTGAAAAGTTAACATGGCCTGCTTTCTGCCAACTGTTTTATGCTTTTTTAAATCGTTAATTAGAGAGAGAAAAGAAATGCACAAGTCTCTTAAAATACAAGCTCAAAGAACTATTAAACACAAATCACTTTTTATGAAGCAATTAAGCCAATAAAGCTGTGAAATAACAGTGCAGTGTATGTACTAAAAATAATGGCCTTTTTTGTGCTCCGGTCTCCAAGATCACAAATTGAAAACACCAGGACTATATATCTAACTTCCACATAATACTGACATTTGTATTCAATGTTAGGAAGACAGTAGATTTTTCATAACTTTCATCATTTTAAATACAGCACCAGATGTCCTCATACATAGTTCAGAACAAAGTTAATTATGTTAAATTTGAGCAAACTATAATGCAGGACATGTAAAAATTACATATTTGATTATTTTAATTTGAAATTCCATTACTGTAACTAATCATATGATTCAGGACATATTACTGGTAACCCTTTAAAGAGTGCATGACAAAATGACTTCAATCTACTTTGGGCCTGCTTTTCAGGCAGTGAAGGGCTGACTACATATCTGTTAACATATATACACTTTAATTTGGAAAAAAAATCCCATTCTTTTCTAGGCATTTTTATTTTCTACCATCAGTACATTGTTTCAATATCTTTCTTTTTTTTGCAGTGCCATTGGGGGAGTTAGAGTGTAACATGTTAGAATATCATCATCATTGAAAGCATTTATTACTCTCAGTGCAGCATGCTACTAGATAGGGGATAAGGTCCCTTTGGTCCTAGTTCTTCAGAAAGTTCTGGCTTAAGATATTTTTTAAATGTACATAACTTTAAAATAAATTACATGCCTTTATCGAATTGACAAACTAATACTTACCCATGTGGTATCAAGTGGTCTTAATTGCTATCTGCTCTCAGATTACATTGCATAGAGCAAAGTAGGATATTGTGACCTATAAAAATAAATTGTAATGTGTGTCAATTAGTGGATTAGGAAATTATGATTGACCACATATGCACTGTCAACAGCATTGAGGTTTAAAATATTAGAGTACCTTATTTGAAATTTCACAAATAGAATA